GGCTTCTCAAGCAGATCAAGTGTGTTACATCCCTTATCCGAAGAAAATTACAAGAAGGTCAGACATTGATTGGCGAGCTGTCGTGAAGATTAATCCCAGGGGAACTATTATTCGTTCTGACTCGACCGAGTCAGAGTTCTGACTCGGACCGAGTCAATACTCGGAAAAAGTCTCTTTTCACAAGGATTAGGGTTTCTAATCTTATATGGGGGTGTTGGACGCCGTCCTAAGAGGAGAACTCAATTTTCAGAACCCTAAGACAGATCTAGAACACAAGAAAATCGTTTCTTTTGAGGTTCTAGTTCCTGGGATTCGATCCCAAGTCTTGAAAACCCTATTCACTTCACAGATCTTAGCAGATCAGTTCCAAAAGCGTTTGGAATCCTTCCCGTCGGTGTGGATACGTGTAGAGGAGCTGTACTTTCAGCTCTTGGTGATTAAAACAGGCCCTGGATCGATTGCTACTTTCAGATCTTCAGGAAAGAGGTAAGTATTCGATTCCTACGGTGATATACACGATTAAACGGGGTTTTATGGATGATTTTGGTTGCGTGTGACGTTTGACTAGGTTTAGATTATTCTTCCGCTGCATGAAACCTAGTAAACCAAACTCTAGATCGATATGATCGCATTGCTAGGAATCCGTAGCCTAAAACCCAACAGTGGTATCAGAGCCTGGTTCTCTGTATATCGCCATGCTTGTCGCATGCCTATATGAATTTTAATGGTTAAAATTGCATGATAGGCTTGATCTATGCATATTTAATGATGTTATGATTGTTTTTTGATGCATGGATGAGTTTGGGGTTGAAGACGGCTTGATGGCGCATCAAATTAGGGTGAAAAACCTAGATTTCGTGGCCTGAAAGTGTCTCCCAGAGTTCTGACTCGGACAGAGTCAGAGTTTTGACTCGACAGAGTCAGAACGAGAGAAACTCAGAGTTTTGACTCGGACAGAGTCAGAGTTTTGACTCGACAGAGTCAGAACGACAGATCAGAGTTTTGACTCGGACAGAGTCAGAGTTTTGACTCGACCGAGTCAGAACGACAGAGTCAGAACGACAGATCAGAGTTTTGACTCGGACAGAGTCAAAGTTTTGACTCGACAGAGTCATTTCAGCTTCTGACTCGGACCGAGTCAAGTGTTGACTCGGACCGAGTCAAGTGTTGACTCGGACCGAGTCAAGAGTTGACTCGGACCGAGTCAGTTCGTCAGACTTTGTTAGATGCAATTGTTGCATCGTTTCAAGTGTCTAAGCCGAGATTCTGATTCTACCGATATGATCGGAACAGCTTGATTGAACTGACTTGAATTCAGTCAAGATTTCATTGTGTTCAAGTCACATATACCTCATGAAATCTCAAGCTATTACCGCCCATTAGTAGAGCAACTGTCAAGGCCTCGATCGTCATGGTTACGGATCATGCCCTAGCTGAGCGTGCCTGATTATCTTGGTGAGGCAGTATGGAGAAATCGTGTTTCTCATAGCTTGAATATGGTTGAGCTTGAATTGGGTTATCAAGTCGGACTTGGACCTAATGGTAAGGATGGGATGAGGAACATGCAGTGATAGCGTATCACTATCCCATACTCATCTAGGAATCACATAGGATGTGATTGACAATGTGTTGTCTACCTAAATAGCATGTTTTTGAGCGTCATGCCCTAGCTGACTCAAAAGCATGTGAAATATGGATCCTAACTCACTTAGAAACTCATTGAGGGTGTTTTTCTTAGTGGGAGCCTGTCATATTGCATCTATTATCTGTGTTAGTAAGTGTACTAAGCGACTTGCATATTTTCTGTCTGTTTGTCTGTCTTTTTCTGTAGAACATATCTGTTGCAGGAATCTGTTTTATCTCACCAAACGATCTATCCTTATGAAGGATAAGCCTCTCACCACGGCTTCTAGATCGATCGTTGATGCTTATTGGAAGCATGAGGATGATGATCTGGACGTGTCCAGCTTGATGCTTGGAAAGATGTCTTCGGAATTGCATGAGCAATTAGATGACATGGACAATTCATTGATGGATGATCAGTTGAATATGTCATTCCAAGAGAAAGCTGGGAGCCGAGGGAAGAACGATATGGTAGTTGTTGGAAAGAGTTCCACCAAAAGGAAACGTTCCAAGGGCAAGGGCAAGAGGAAAGTGGCAAGCGTTGTCATTGAACCTAAGCCTGAGTCCAAGAAGGAAGAGTGTTATTTCTGTCATGCCATTGGGCATTGGTACAGAAATTGCAGACTCTACCTGGAAGATCAGAGGAAGAAGAAGCTTACAGAAGCTTCGACTTCTGGTATCTTCGTTATAGAGGCGAACTTGTTTACTTCTACATCATGGGTATTAGATACCGGATGTGCCTCACACATTTGTAGAAATGTGCAAGGACTTCGAGGAAGTAGACAATTGGCGAAGGGAGAAGTAGATCTCCGCGTCGGGAATGGAGCAAAAGTTGCTGCATTAACCGTCGGGACTTACGATCTCACTTTACCTCCTTGCCTTGTATTGGAGTTGCATGATTGTTATTTTGTCCCTGCCATAGCAGGAACATTATATTGATTTCATGTTTAGACTCGGATGGTTTCAGATTTGTTATTGAGAACAAATATCTGTCCATTTATAGAGGCGATTTATTCTATGGTAAAGGTTACCAGTTTAATGGCCTTTATATTTTGGAAGATGAACCATCTGGATACAGGTCGATCTATAATGTTAGTACCAAGCGGTTTAAGCCGAACGACTTAAACCCGACCTATCTCTGGCATTGTCGACTTGGCCACATCAACGAGAAACGCATAGCGAAGCTTCATTCTGATGGACTTCTTGATTCTTTTGATTATGAATCAATCGAAACATGCGATTCATGTTTGATGGGCAAGATGACAAAATCTCCTTTTTCTGGAAAAGGAGAACGGGCTACAGAGTTGCTAGAACTCATACATAGTGATGTATGCAGTCCTATGAGCTCTCCCGCTAGAGGAGGTTATCTGTACTTTGTTACGTTTACTGATGATTTCAGTAGGT